TAAAACGGTCCTTAAAATCTAGTAATCGCGTGGCCTCTGAAGTACTCATATTATTTAATTTTTATCTTTGTCAATGTCAATGACCGTTTAATATTCATCGGCATCTGGTGTGCGAGTCGATCAATTCGGTTTACTGAGACGTCGCTAGATGCCGCCACCGTTACACGTACAACGATCAAAAACCATATTTTATTACCGCGTGTAGTGCAGAAAACGTCACGATAACAATAACGATTGGACGAGAAGTAATGATAAATAATCTCTAAAATGGTCGATTGCACGGCATTTTAACGAACTAGTAAAATGTGTGAATTTATTATAAATCGATGGAATCCGCTGAACGACAAATGCAACAGGCCAGTAAAACACAAGGAGTTTCCCGGAATGACCCTTTTTTTAACGTTCTGATTGCGTCTGGAATAAGGTATCAACCCGGTGCGTCCCGAGAAAAAAGATCATATTTCCGACGTAGCCCGAATCCGTTCCACTTCATTTACTCGGGGCGCACCACGAGGAAGTGAACTGGCTTAAGCCCGGAAAATGTTTTGTGATTCTTATTTATGTTATTATTTTTTATTATAGTTTACGCTATTAAGTTTGGGCGAGCGCACTCATTTTTAAAATGTTTTTTTTTTTTTTTCAGAATATCACCAAACACAGATACAGTCAACGCAGGATACTCAGAAATATACTGCTAAAATAAATGCCCTGACTATACTATTCCTGGTATCCAGACTATCAAAGAGCCATAATCCTGCCCGAAATGTCTGTCAAAATTATTTTCACAATCATTTAATAAAACAATATGTGTTGCATTTATATTATTTTTAAGGGGAACACAGATATCTTTATTCTTTATCCTAAAAAACTACGTATCACCCCGATAACACGCAAATACAAATAAACGTTTTTATTTTTATATCGTTTTCTACTTTCTGATAACTCTTTTTGTATCATAAACGAATAAATTCAAATACTTTATGTTTTATTCGTACGTGAAATAACCTCCCTCCCGCTTTATCTTATCTACCTAAAGTCTAAAACCTACACAGATATTTTGGAAATGATTTATTTTATCAGTTGAGGACTCATCAAATAATAATCATGAAATTGTAAAAAGTTTCAGATCTTTACGATTAATATTTTTTGAATTTCAACAAAACAAATAAAACCCATCCAGGGAAACTCATTATTTTTCTTTTGACCTCGAATATCTAATTTTTTCAAATATTATTCTTCTAACGTTCGTACAAAATTATTAGAACTAGTTTTTCTAATTTTATTATTGATAGAAGTACCGAGATTTTCCTATTTTTTACTCCCCAAAGTACTTATCAACTAGATTAAATTTTATATCAGAAACCACACAGAGTTGAAGATCAAAGAATTTTTACTATTACAAACGTAAAGGCAGACACAAAAAATAAAAATTTATTGAAAATATTAAATTGTAACTTGTAAGTACTGCCGTACTGGAGTTCTGGACACCGAGATTCTCACCTCAATATACCTTGGACAATTATTATCATGATGCGACAGTGGCGTACAGAGATATTTTGAGAGCAAATGCAACTATCAAAAGTTACCCATCCATCTATTTTTTTTATTAAAAAAATTTAAAAAAAAAACATTCTTTTGAACTGTTGTCTGTAACTGTAATTAACTCTTAAATTAACTAGAATTATTGTAAAATCAGTACTGTTATTTGTTTACCATAGTCCACAATGTTTGATATTCAAGTTATACAACTACATACCCACCAACCCACTCAAACACCCACCCACCACGAGAGTACATGCAGTTGCAACATTTGCTACCCTGTCTAGGCGCTACTGATGCAATAGTTGTTCGACGCTTTCGGAAGGTAACGTTAGTGACATCTATTTGTGTAAGTTTCAACTTTTTTACGCGTGCACTATGAATCGGCAATATTGCAATTTACGTTCATCACTAGATATCGGTGGCTGCTTTTATGTTTATTTTTTTTTTTTTTTTTTTTTTAATTAAATTTTATAATTTCTAATCTCGAACAATACTTTCTTATGATTGCCACTACTGACTAAGTACGCAATTTAAAGTGGGACACACGAAGGCGGAAATCAAGAATAATATTTTATTCAATCAAATCTATTTTATATTACGTTCATTATTATTTACTGTACATTTTACACGAAAACATTTTCAAAATAAATTGAATTTAGGTATTTCAACTTATTCACGCTCGTCTTTGATACGATAGTACATTTGACTTATAAGTCAGTAATAACGAATATTATTTATTTAAATAATTATAATTACTAGTATCGTTCATTGACCAAAATGTAACATTAAAAACCATTTTAATTATAAAATCCATACGCTCTAACACATTGTTCGGTATCAGGATTTGATGTTTGTGCTTCTTCTGCTTTATATTCCTATGAAAATTTCAAGTAGAATAAAGAGGTATTTCGCATTTAACTTGTAGCTTATAACAGTTTATACGTATATAATCTACAAACATATGGACATCGTCTTTTGATGTACATTTGAATAACAATCAGGGACGTAATCAGAGGAGGTCTTAGGGTTTGGAACCCCCTTTCCCCTCCTGAAATATCATTGTTTATATTTTTATTGTACTTGTATACTCGTACTTAAAAATTATTAACTATTTAATTAGAAAAAATAACCAAATAATGATATATTTTATACCATATTCTATTTCTGTACGTCATTAAAAATTTGATTTTTTTTTAAATAATAAATATGATTAAAATCATTCCTTTTTTTATTTTACCCCCCCCCCCTCCCACCATAAAATAAAATTTTAGCTACGTCCTTGCAAACAATAAATAACTATTATTTTCTTCAATTTTGTGCATTGATTACTGTTTTTTACATTTCGCATTGTCCGATATTATTAATTATACCTATATTATTACATTATAATATTACACTACGATTTAATCATAATGATGGAATAGATAAATGGATAACGTTTATCAACGTTTTTATTGAAAATATTTGTACTAATCGTCAAGTTGCAAATTGTACGTGTCATTTAAAATAAATTGTCCCGTGATAACATTATACCTAGTTGCCCATACTACTAAAACAATAGCATATAAAGTAATGTGTATAGTGTGTATACTGTATAATATAGGTAGTAATAAAGTTACTAGATAAATTTTGCAAACTTATAATATAAAGTGCATATCTACGACATAATATTATACACTAAACACACTACACAGAATATAATTATTAATAGCTATATTGTATGGAACTATATTATGTAGATGTACACACATATTATAATATTGTATTAAAACTATTCATTGATGTAACCTGTGATAAAATACATTCCGCGATGAGAGAGGTAATAAGGTCAATTAGTCAAGGATTTATTAATAAAAAAAATTGTAACAAATAATAAATATAATAATAATGCTTTGAAGGTCGACGTGATCCAATGGATCTTCTTATCGAGCGTTTTGATTTTGGATTTAAATATCACCAAACTCATTTCACCAAGATTTCATTTTTCAAGCATATGAAAAATATTAACGACAACACAACTATTACAACAAAGCAATCTTAGTAGGTAGCTCGCGTGATAAAATTTAAACTTAATTTTTTTTTTTTTTTTTTTTTGTCGCTTATATTTAAGATTTTATATTTATGAGTTACGGGTATTTGACTCAAATCATCAACATTAAAGCTGAAATATTGTAGGAAATTAATTTTTATAATTTTAGAATGATTAAATGCAGACAATAAACAAATTTTTATTTTATTTTGACAGTTTAAATACAATGTATTTCATAAACTACCCGTATAGATGAAATCGTTTGCAAAATAATCAACATTGAACTTATTAAATTTTGGAATAGAGTATTGAGTATTTAGAACCACGATATTCCATACATATCTACCCTGTATCTACGTAATAGCAAAATACTAATTTTTAAGTATCTCGGCCGTCTCTATTTACATTGCCAACCCACACCTATTTAGTTAATTAATAAGATTTATTAATCATCTATATATTTTTACACTTACATTTTATCATAATTTTATAATGTCTAATTGATAATCTTAGGTCAATAACTTCTGTAGGTTGCATATTTAACCATTTCTTTTAATTACAACTTGAAAACATTTAAAGCTCTGTTTTAAAAATTATAAGGTATACAACTACATAATTTACTAATCAACCTAATTTAATATATAATTTAAAAGCTGGATTAAAACGTATATATATGTACATCAGTGGCGTATATCAAGACCCCAAAGCATTCAAGATACATCACAATTAGAGGGGCCCCATGGCTTTTATCATCAAATTTAAAAAATAAATCGTTGATTATTTTGCTCAAATGAAAGTTTGAATAGTTATAATACTAAACATTTCGATACAATATTAATAGAACATAATTAGTCTAAAATTATTACTATTATTACCATGAACTTCTGGTTCTAACACTATAATGATTAATCCTCTCTTATGGCATGAAAAAATATTGTAATAATGCCAAAACTGTTAAAAATACAAAATGAAAGTTTGAATTTTCAATTCTCTGATATATGAAACGGATTTTTTACTTGAAAATCATTGCTCAAGACTACTTAAAAAATGATATATTTTCTATTTAGATCCGTGCTATATTTATGTTCATATATTTAAAAGAGGCTTTCACCAACTTAGGGCCAATAAATTCCACTCTAGGCTACTAATATATATATAAACATTATTTAAAAAAAAATGTTGTTTTTAATAACTTAACTCATAAGTTAACATTTTTGTAAGTACAGAAACTATGATTACTCTACCATCTTCATGATTATATTATATTATAATTTTAGTTTATAACTAAAAAAAAATATTAAGAGTATACCTACAACCTAATATTACTTTGAATATTTTGTGTCTATAGATAATTAAATATTATAATATAAACTAGGTACCAATTAGTATAATTAGCTTAACGTACTACATATGTAATTTAGGTATTTTGTATGTTTATCTTAAATGTTATAGGTGCATCCTTAATATAAACATAAACTCTAATTAATTAATTATTATGTATAAAACAATTAATTTTTTTCAGTGAAAAAAGGGTTGATGAATATAAAATAAAAAGTTTCCAATAATGAAATCAGGCTCACTCCACGGCACAAATTCGTCATTCCAGCAATTTTACCTTTAAATAAAAGTTTAATTATCATGTTAATTAATTCAAGATTATTAAAATATTTTATTGAGGTTTTTAACAAACTTATGTAGCCTAAATTAGTATCTTCAGCGTTTCTTCTCAAAGGCCACGTGTGTTCCAAATTAACTGTAGCTTCAATGCTAACCAAATCATTACTGTATAAGAAAAGATACATATATTATATTACTAGAACTAGGAAGCACAATTATTTCTTGTTCTACAACTAAACGACGGTCGTTTTAGTAAAAAATTGTTTCACTTCTTACTAAATATAGGTACCTACCTATATTATTATTATTTATGTTTTTGGTTTTTCGTGGTATTTTTTCATTTTTAAGGTGCTTAGGACATTTTATAGGTACATAAGTTTAAATTAAAAAATATATTTCAAAATAAATGAAATCTTATATGTATTTTATACTATCAGTTAATTTTAAACTAATTTTATCTTGCATTTGAAATTTCATAATACAATTAATAAAATCAATACGAGTAAGTGGGCAATATGTTATTGTAAGTATAGATTTACTTGGATAAAGTGAAGAAATCTAATACTTTTATAATTAATACGCCAACACTGAATACAAATAAACTAAATTGAGCATCATTAATTAAATATAATAACATATTTATATGTACAATGTATGTTAAATTTTAAAATTATTTTATACATCTATTATTTTTTATACAATTTAGTGAATATTGTGAAAGTATTCTTCATTAATTTTTATAGCATTTACTTAGTTTAATTTTTATAAGGCATTTAATTCCCTGCAGCCATATGCCCATATGCACTTATTACATTATTAATTATTATTATAATGTTTGTTAATCGACTTATATATTTATAATATATTCAATGATATATTAGATTTTTCAAGTTGTGAAATAACATTGATAATAATATTATCACATTCCAATATTACAATAATATATTATTATTTTCTGTTTATATTACAAATACTATTACATGATTAATATTTAGTGAGATTACACCTATTATATGTGTTGCTGTTGCAGTTTATATAATAGATTGTATATTTGTATAGTGTACCTATACAATAGGCGTCAGGCGATACATTTAAATGTCTCTATGTTTATTCAGAAAAAATTAATTTTCAAAGTATATTTTTAAATATATTTTTTATTGAGTATTTAAGTATTTCGATTTTTGAAAATCGAATTTCAAATGATTGGTTAATTAGATATAATTAAGTATTTAAATTCTTTATGATTAAAGTAGAATAGCAAAGTATCGTTACATTACTCATTAATACTATTTAGATATACTTTAAATAATAGGTAAATAAGTATCTATATCAATTAACTACTTGTTCGAAATTCGATTTATAAATACCTGTGTAAATACTCAAAAAATATTCTGCTTAAGAAAAGAAATTTAAAAATTTATAGGTATTTTCATTCGAAAAAAGGTAGGAAATGCAGTATCGCACTGCTGCACATTAGAAACTGGGTCCAAACGAGCCATTGTAATGGGTGTGTTAAATTTTAACTTAATGATTATAATATTATTGTATGTCACTAAGTACATTTTGTATGTTTTTTTAATGTAGCCATTAAAGTCATTTATTTTACTTTTTGTACTACGATGGTAAATATAATTTTTTCCAAAAATATTACATTTATTTTATTATTTATTATTTAGTTATTATAATAATATGTATTTAATATACTATATTTTATCAATTTGTATAATTCAAAATTATATGATATCTTTCTGTAAATATCGTAAAACAGAAAAAAAAATAGGTTCATAGTATAAATCAATAACATTTAAAAATAAATTGAAAACGTTATTGCGTATTATAATTTATGTAAAAATTTTACAAATAACGTTTTAAATTTATAACAAAATAATTAACAACATTATTAATTTTATTCAGTTACATGGAAACCTGCTTAAAAGGAAATTTTTATTGGTTCCGTGCAATTCCGCACGGGACAAGTTTTACTGTATATTATGTACCTATACTCATTATTACGTCATATACTGTTTTACTGTAAATTACAATATTTAATGATGATAAATTAATAAAAAATAAATTTTCTCACCTGTCAGTTATGTTGTTCAAAAACGTTAATGATTTTCTTATTGAGCTGAAGTTTTTTGGTACTATTGAATAAGATAACTCGTAATCAATGTCTGTACAAGATGGCAAACATTTGCATGTATGGTATGCTCTCTGTACATGAACTAATAAGATAAAACTAAGATTTATCATTTTCATAAAATAACTAAATTATTCATTTCAATAAAGCTTTATCGTTATTTATATTCTATTATAAAACTTATGTACACAATATTTGGGTAAATGTTACAAATTGTTTATAGTTATTAATATTTTTCTCGAAAAAATAATATTTAACCTAACAAACTAAATATTACTCTATACAATTTGTTAGAATTTATTTGTTTTTTTCACTTCGTTATGTGACTAATATACAGAATGATTCGCTAATCATGTTTAACCTTTTTTTTATTTTTCAACGATGCAGTTATTCTAAATCTGATTCTTGGAATTTTTAAATATATTTAAAAACCATATTTTCAAATTTTTCGTAATTATATATCTATGGAAATGCAAACTTATTTTTATCAAATAAGAACTGCCTCATCTTTTCTATGTTAAATTAATTAGTAGATATTTTTTTGTATGATTTAAACTGGTAATTTTTGAATTATACAACTTTTATTTACTAAGGGTAATGGGATCATAATAATATATTAAAAGAAATGGGAGCTTTAACGATTTAAAAATTATATTAATTGACATCAATCTATCGACATTTATAATTTATAAAAATGGTTCGAATTTAATAAATATTAGATTCAATATTATGTATATTTTATATTTTTGTAAAACCATTTTTAAAGGCTATATTACCCTTAAATCTTAAAATAAACATGTCATTAACTAAAAAACTACGCTTTGATTTTTGAATTAAGTTAAAATCGTGCATAATTATTTACTTGCGGCATTTGCTTGACAACTTTTCAATTTAGGTCCACACACGGGAAAAGAACTGTCTGTTAAAAAATAAGATAAACACAGAAATGTAACTAAATGTTTTTGTCACAATAATTATTACTCTAATTTTTAATTGGCATTTTGAAAAAATAAATATACATATTCATAACGTAAAAGAAAGCTATTGTGATAAAAACATCAGGTAGATATAGTTCATAATAGTAAATAAATTATATATAATCATACTTATTCTATAAATTGGAGCACAACCACACAAAGTCTCAGTATAATTCACCTGACACTCGGCATAACAATTTATATACGAATATATTGTGTTGTACTTTAGCCACTTCTCATTCAAATAATAACATCCTCGTTTTTCAGGTGTCCAACTTTTTAAGCCATCGTCTGTCAACGACAATTGAGTTATTATTTGAACAAAGCTATGACTATTTTTTGAAAGTTTTAAAGAAGAATGTGAATAGTCTGGGACATCTGATGGACTATGAAAATAAATCTGAAATAAGTAGGATATATCGTTTAAAACATGTTATTAGTAATTATTTATTTTTTTTCAAAACATTAAGAACCTATGTACTGATTTATTATATTAATCATGATTAGTAGGTTTAAATATTGTTAATACTATTGTTGCCGCCGTGGACGCAGCACAATAATAACTAATATAATTATATAACAAGACGAACGTACGAGTCACGATCGAACACACACCATTTCATTAATTATTGTTTATTTTGTATGTTTTATTGTGTCCCGTGAATTATATAATTTTACTATCGCTCCCACTCGGACTGGCTATGCGAATATTAATTAGCACGGCCGCCGTATTTTTGTCTTCCACCGTACGTAATCGAGTAAAGACCGACTCGCGTTTGCAGTTTTCATCTTATTTTATATTATATTTAACATTGTATTATTATTTCTAAATTGTAAAATTATTATTCTCATATTTTTACGTGCGAGAGCACAAGGGCCATTATTAAATTTTGTGTTTCTGTGTGCAGACAATTATTATTTTATTATACCTATTTTGTAGAATTTTTCGTATAGCTAGTAACTTCCGGAGAACCAGCTGGCCAGTCTGCGCTCCACAAACTTAAGATTTTATTATTAATGTTGTTGCCAGAAGACCACGTTTTATATTGTTATATATTTATCATTATATTATATATTTTTATATTTTATTATATTTATATATTTATTATATTTGTTTGGTCATAAGGGCCGCAAATCATTCACATTACATTTTTAATATACGAGCCACAGCTCTAATAGCTGTGTAAGCATAAATGTATTCGTTCGACCATAAGGGTCGTTCCTTTTTTATACTTATTCATTTAGCCATAGGGTTGAAGTCATATAATACTATTACATTTGGTTGAGCTAGAGTGGCTGATTATATATTTTTATCTAGGGCTCCAGCAGCACCTATATATTATTTTACTATTGAATGAAGACCTATATTATTATATCTATTTATTGTTGTGCCAAACAGGCCATGTTATATTATATTACATTTTTATACTTTTCTGTTGCTGTGATTTTATATTATTTTGTGGATTTTAAATTATTTGTATATTACAGCAGCTTAGTTACAGATACCGTGTTACCTTTTTAGTTTAAGCACACACCGACACATATACACACCACACCACCACACTAGTTCAATAGTCTTGCTCGGCGATCCCGTCCACTTCTATGAACTGCTACACCATACACACATACACAGATCTCGTATTA